GCTGCGGAGTCGACAATTTGTGAATTGGCTGCCGTTTATTTATTTTAATTATTTTCTTTGGCAAATTGCTCATTTCCTACTTACTGAATGGCTGTCCTCGAGATCTTCCCCACCCTCGCCCTCGCCCCATGGCTATTGTTTGGCAATCAACGCTGATTTATGCGCCGGTTTCGCTGCGTTTTGCTGTTGTCGCATTGTTGCTGTCACTCAAGCGGTGAATGTACATCCCCATCTGTCTATCCATCTTTCCATCTGTCTGTCTCATGTTTTGACAGTTGTTACTGTACATAAGTGTGTGTGTGTGTGTGTGTGTTTGTCCCACTCTGGCTAGTTGTTACTTGAGGATGTTCGTGGATTTTGGCAACATTTGTGATGCTTTCCTAAAATGTAATTCTTATATTTTTGTATTAGGCATTTCCAACCTAAAAAAAACAAACCATAAATAAAAATACATTATACAAAATATAAACACCTAAGGGTATCTAAAGCTTCGACTCTGAAAGCTGTCTTTTTCCCTTTGGGACATTTTTGATAATTTGTGACCCTCTAAACAAAGGGGCCACAAAACACAAAGCCCCAAATAATCTCAAGTGCTCTTTAAGTAGCTTCTAAGAGTTTTTTGTATATCTTTTGACCCAAATTTACATTTATGATAAATATATTTCGCTCTTATCATTGAATTATTCATATTTGTTGCGTCATAAGAAATGCTTGCTGAGATGCTCTCCGCAATTGGGAATTCTTTCGTAACCATGCCTCAGAGAAAGCTTCCAGCTAAAAGTACATACATACATATGATATTTCAATCAATCTATTATTGTATGGTATGTATGTGTATTTGCCCTGTCATCTGTGTATTCCCCTAAATTGGTAGCCCGTGTGTCCCACGTATCTCAAAGGCCACACAAATTGGTTTCTATTAATGAATGAAAATTGCTCTTGCCCCTTTATGGATGAATGAATTGTTGTTTAGACTTAAAAACCAACCGGAAATGTTTCAAATTTTCTCTTTTATCTATGCACGAGTAAGTATGTATGTGTGTGTGTGTTACGATCCACACACGAATACTCGTACGAGTGTGGAAGTTTTTTTTTTGGAGCCCCCGAGTGAGTTATGACTTCTGCGAAAACCGAGGCTGTAGCTTGGATTTGGAGAACAAACGAAAACGATGGGAATTCATTAATCTTTGGGAACGAAAAGCTATCGGTGGGAAATACAAATACAGTATAGAGATGGAAATGGAAACGGAGATGGAGATGGAAGGAACACCCCTCTTCTGACGTCTCTGACAAGCGATTATCGTTCGTTGCAAGTGCAGTAAATGGAATGGCAACCGCCAAGGGGGAGGGGGGGCAACATCATCAGCATTTACAGAACTGGAACTCAGACAATTGAGGGGCAGGGGCTGGGGCAGGGGGAGACAGAGTTCAGACTTCAGTTGTCAAGGGGAGGAGCTGCGGACTGTGGACTGCTTGCTTGTTGCATGCGTTGCACTGCACAAACACAAACAAATTTATGAGCTAACTTGAAAGTTCAAAAGTTTATCGTGTTTTTTCTGTCTGACCATGATAATGACGGAGGCCTGTACGTAGTAGATGGAATGGAGTGGATTACTCACTCGTGTGTCTACAATTTGTAGTTTTCTTTCCAAATTGCCCATGAATTTGGTTGTTCTGTTCTTTCACTTCCACTTCACCTGCCACTTCCTTTACTTGTAACCACTTTATTACGCCCGAAAACAACGCTTCAAATTTTCATGTATTTTCTTGTGTTTTTTTCTCTACACAGAACCGTGCTCTGCCCGCCAATGCCTCGCCCTTCCGCCGAGCCTGGGGTCAGTCTTCATTCCGTACACCGCGCTCCGACAAGGTGGCCAAGCAGCTGCAGCCCCACCAGCCGCAGTCGTCGTCATCGCCGCTGGTGAGACGCACTGCCTCGATGAACGCCTCCGACAATGATATGTACATCAAGACCCTGATGCTAGACGACCTGAAGACGTCGGCACGGAGCCAGCAGCAGCTGAGCCTGCTGCAGGTGCCCAAAATCCTGACCACGCCGGCGCCACCCTCCACCATATCGGTCAGCGCGGAGTCAGCCGCCGCCGACAATCTACCAGACAATGGCAGTCCCAGCAGCTGGGGCGGATCGTTTGAGCGAATGCTGCAGGATGCCGCCGGAATGCAGACCTTCTCCGAGTTCCTCAAGAAGGAGTTCTCGGCGGAGAACATTTACTTTTGGACCGCCTGCGAGCGCTATCGCCTGCTCGAGTCGGAGGCGGAGAGGGCCATCCAGGCGAGGGATATCTTTGGGAAACATTTGGCGAACAGCAGCAGCGATCCCGTCAACGTGGACTCCCAGGCTCGCAATCTGACGGAGGAGAAGCTCGCGAGTGCCGCTGCCGACATCTTTGCGCCCGCCCAGAAGCAGATATTCAATCTGATGAAATTCGACAGCTACCAGCGCTTCATACGCTCCGATCTCTACAAGAGCTGTGTGGAGGCCGAGCAGAAGAACCTGCCCCTGCCGTACAGCGGTGCCGATCTGGACGAGCTGCTGAAGACAAATTTTCACTTAGCTGCCTCCTCAAAGGTGAGTGTTTTCGCCTGAAATCGATTGCCAGAATGTTCACTAAATGCAGGATTCCCCTTCTCCCTTTTTGGCAGCTCAAGAAGTCGGTCAGCAATGCCGAGGATCGACGCCGTAAGAGCCTACTGCCATGGCACCGCAAGACTCGCAGCAAGTCCCGCGATCGCACGGAGATCATGTCCGATCTGCAAAGCAGCGCTTTGATGCCAGCACCGCCGTTGCCGCCACCTACACTGTTGACCAGCGCCTCGCTGAAGATCGCCTCGGGCCAGAATTCGCTGAGTGATCTGCACAGTTCGCGGTCCTCCCTGTCGTCGTTCGATGCCGGAGCGTCGGGCGGCCAGGGAGCCAGTGCGGAGAGCGTGTGCTCGCTGTGCCGGGTGATCCTAACGGATGGAGCCACCACCATAGTGCAGACGCGTCCCGGGGAGACGGTGGGGCAGCTGGTGGAGCGGCTGCTGGAGAAGCGCAACCTCGTGTATCCCTACTACGACATTGTGTTCCAGGGCAGCACCAAGTCCATCGATCTGCAGCAGTCGTCGCAGCTGCTGGCCGGCAAGGAGGTGGTGATCGAGCGCCGAGTGGCCTTCAAGCTGGATCTGCCCGACCCGAAGGTGATATCCGTGAAGAGCAAACCCAAGAAGCAGCTGCACGAGGTGATCCGGCCCATACTGACCAAATACAACTACAAAATGGACAACGTGCAGGTGATAATGCGCGACACCCAGGCCCCGCTCGACCTCATGCAGCCGGTGACGATGGCCGATGGCCAGCGGCTGCGCATCGTTCTGCTCCAGGATTTTCAGTCAGGCGGCGGCAGTAACATGCCGCCGAAGCAGACAAAACCAATGAAGCCGCTGCCCTCCACGGCACAGGGCCAGCTGGACGAGCTGACGAACAAGATGTTCAACGATCTGCTGCAGAGCAAGGCGGAGGCGGCGGCGGCGGCCAGTGACAGGCCCAAGCCCCAGCCCAGCGATCTGTGCTCCATGAAGTCCAACGAGGCGCCCTCGGAGTGCTCATCCTCCCTGTTTGAGCGGATGCGGCGGCAGCAGCAGCAGCAGCAGCAGCGCGACAACATTCCTGGCAGCAAGCTGCCCAAACTGAAGAAGAAGTCCACAAGCAGTCAACATTCCGAGGAGGCAACGACCAATCCCTCATCCTCCTCTCTGGCGGTGGCAACGGCAGCGGCAGATCCCAAGAAGCCCATCATTGCAAAGCTGAAGGCGGGCGTGAAGCTGCAGGTGACCGAGCGAGTGGCCGAGCACCAAGGTGGGTAGCCGTAGCCCCCTGCAGTGCCCCTTGAACGAAAACCAATAGACTAAACACGATTCCATTCTGATTTCACAGATGAACTACTCGAGGGCCTGAAGCGGGCACAGCTGGCGCGGCTGGAGGATCAGCGGGGCACTGAGATCAATTTTGATCTGCCCGATTTCCTCAAGAACAAGGAGAATCTCAATGCAGCCGTCTCCAAGCTGCGCAAGGTGCGGGCCAGCCTGAGTCCCGTCACCGGCAAGGTGCCGCCCAGTCCCACAGAGATACCGCAGCCGGCGCCACGCCTCTCCATCACACGGAGCCAGCAAGGGGCGGGGGCGGGCAGCCAGCAACAAGTGTCGCCCATGAAGGTGGACCAGGAGCAAGAGACTGAATTGCCTGCGGAGACGCAGGATCAAATGGAATTTGCCAAAGCGCCGCCGCCGTTGCCGCCAAAGCCAAAGGTGCTGCCCATCAAGCCATCCAACTGGGGAGTGGCCGTGCCGCAGCCAGTCGGAAACTACTGCAACAAATTCTCCCCCACCAAACAGGCCCCAACCTCACCCTCGGCAAAGACTTCCGCGTCCTCAGCGGCCTTTGTCAGCAAAATTCCCCTGGACATTGGACGCAAGACGCTGGAGGAGGCGGTGGCGGGAACGCGGTGCGCCTACCTGGACGAGCCCAGCAGCAGTTTTGTGTGATACTTCCTGGATTCCCACCGGGGAATACCATACCCCGCGAATGGAATTGGCATTGTTTTTAACTGGTCCTGAAATGCTTATGTACATATTATATCTGCACTATTTATTGATACCCGAACTCTCTCCCTCTCTCGCTGTTGAATGAATGTCCACCAACCATACCAACCATGACCATGAGCCTTCTATGTAATCTATAATAATTAGCAACCATAAGCCTTTAGCTTTAAACCTTTTGTATAAATATACAACAAACATATGCATATAAAACGTTGAAATTTGTTATTTCTAGAGCTATATTTTATGGATAGATGGAACACGAGGGAGAAGTTCTCACACAGGTATACCAAGGCACACACACTCGTATTTTAAATAGAAATTCCATAACGTGGCAAGTGTTTTGCGCTCAACGAGAAAACTGAAACAGATTTCCCATTTGCCGAATATAAAAGCCTCTTGACCATTTGTCGAGCAATCAGTTTAGAAAATAAACCCCTCAAGCGATGGTAAAGCTAATGCTAAATGTTGTGGTTCTGAGCCTGCTGCTTTGTCTGGCATTGGCAATGAGTCGCCAGTTGATTGAACACCGAAGGAGTAAGTGAAAAATCGCTAGCACTTTTGATATGGAATTCAACTTAGGATAATTCTCCACAGAGATTTGCATGGAACCCGAAGCATACGGCAGCTGCAACCAAAAGCAGTTGCGTTGGTATCACGACCCAATGACCAGCGCTTGCAAGCCGTTCTACTACAGTGGCTGCGGTGGAAATTATAACCGATTCAACCGCGAAACACTATGCTGGGACTACTGCATGGACCCGGCTATCTCTTATGATATTGACTAGGGATTCCATAAGTTGTCAATTGCTAAAAAGTTGGGGGACTCGTGGACTAATAATTGTTGAATAAACCACATTTGCTTTGAATTCTTACCAAGTATATCCTCCATATCTGTATCTGTATAATGGGAAAATGGGGGGAGGTATCCAACGTATATGTATTACAGTAATATAATGTATACATATGCCTTTTGTAATCTTGCAATAAACTTACGAGCAAGTGTTTGCCATTAAAGAGAAAAATAAAACAGATTTTCCCATTACGTAAACAAAGTTCTTGCTTTCGGCGACCGTATATAAAAGCCTGGTGACAATTTTTGGACCATTCAGTTAACCAAATAAACTGCAAAGCGATGGTAAAGCTTACACTGCATATTGTAGTTCTAAGCCTGCTGCTGTGTCGGATTGGAGCCGACAATCCACCGAACAGCGCCAACCGCTTGCGTAGGTAAAAACTAAATACACTTTTAATCATTTGACTATGAGAATTATTTACAGTGGTTTGCACGCAGCCTAAGTCATATGGCGGCTGCAGCGAAATGCAGGTGCGATGGTATTTCGACCCACAGTATAACAAGTGCAGGGCCTTCCACTACAGCGGATGCGGGGGAAACAGCAATGTATTCGTTTTGCAAAGTGAATGCATTAACTACTGCATAAACCCGGACTACGACGAAATGAAGTAGCGATTCCATAAATTGTCACTTGATAGCATTAACTATTGTAACTTAACCATAAACATTGCTAACCACCAATGAACAAGCCCTTAATAAAAATTCTCTTTGAATTTTGAAGCTATATGCAGATGCATCAAGAAGTGGCAGTTTCTACCTAATACTTATATCATTCCAATTGATAGATTGGAACTGGGGGGTGTTTTCAAATATATACGTATGTATGTATTTTGTATGTTCATCCAGTTGCATGTAGTTTTCCAAACTGCATGCCTAAAAATGAGGCAAGTGTTAGTGTTTGCGATTAGAAAGGAAAACTGCAACAGATTTTCAGTTAGATATTTTTAGGCTTCTTATCGGCGACCGTGTATAAAAGGCTGTTCACAGTTCGTGTGGTTAATCAGTTAACAAAATAAACCCATAAGTGATGGCTACGCTAATGATGAATTTTGTTATTCTGGGGCTGCTGCTGTGCCTGGAAGCAGTCCCCAATGGGCCGAACTTTTACGACCGGCTCCGTACGTGAATTTCAAAGGAATTTTTCATAATTCAATTATGATATTTCTCCACAGATATTTGCACGCTACCCAGTGAGTTTGGCCACTGCCGCGAAAGACAGATACGGTGGTATTACGACATAACGTCCAAGTCTTGCCAGCCCTTCTACTACAGTGGATGCGGTGGAAATTATAATCGATTCTTACGCAAAAGCGGATGCTCGGACTACTGCATGGATCCGGACTACCCTGGGTTTTAATAAACTTTATTTTGCTAACCGTAGAAAATAATGGATAACATATTTGGAGCATTGTATTAGCTTAAGCTATAACAGATGTAGCCATGTGGTATGGAGTACATATATAATCTAGACTTATACATTTGCATTTTGCTATCTTATTTAAATCGAAAACTAAAACAGATTTTCCCTTATGTAAACAAAGGTCTGGTTTTCGTATATAAGAGCCTGACGACTTATTGTCGAGCAATCAGTTGACAAAATAAACCCTCAAGCGATGGTCAAGCTAATGCTGAATATTTTAATTGTAAGCGTGCTGCTGTGTCTGGCATCAGCCTTAAGCTCAAAGGAGATGGCCGAACGGATGAGTAAGTGGAAATTAAATAAAGGCTAAAATTACCCTGAGATATGTCTTTACAGGGATTTGCTTGATGAAAAGTTCGTATGGCTACTGCCGCGGGCAGCAGACTCGATGGTTCTACGACACGGTGACCAACGATTGCAAGTCGTTCATGTACAGTGGCTGTGGTGGCAATCCTAATCGATTCCCAAGTCTACCCCAATGCCTTGACTACTGCACGCACCAGGATTTACCCTATGATTTCAAATGAACTATTAATGGATAAAACCAATTGAATAAACCATAAAATTAACGCAGATTAGATTTGAATTTTTTAAGCTATAACATTGGAAGTGGCCCGCATGTATATATCTTCCACATGGACATACGCTCTTAGCCACCTGCTAGTAAACTTGTTTAATATAAATATTTTCGATTACGATGCCATAACGTGACATTTAAGCTTTAACTGAAACAGATTTCCCATTAGATATTCCAAGTGCACCTTTTGTGGATGCTGATATATAAATGCCTGTTGAAAATATGTCCAGTGATCAGTTCACTAAATAAACCCTCCAGCGATGGTCAAGCTAATGCTAAATCTTGTTATTCTAAGCCTGATTGTGTGCCTGACATCAGCACTCAGTACGCAATCCATTGTCCACCGGATGAGTAAGTAAAAACTAAACTAAGATTTAAATAGCACTAAGAAAGTTCGTTACAGAGATTTGCTTTGAGCCTCGTTCGTATGGCAACTGCCGCAACCGTCAGGCGCGTTGGTATTATGACCAATGGTCCAAAACCTGCCATGCGTTCTTCTACAGCGGCTGCGGTGGAAATTATAATCGATTCATTACCAAAAACGCATGCATGTCGTACTGCAGGGACCCGCAAATTCCTTACGACAAGAAGTAATGATAACTAGTCTATATAGACTATTCACATTCTTGTGCTACAACAGAAGAAAAAACTTGTAGAAATCAAACAAAATAATGCAAAATGTGAGCCTGCTGGTGAAAAAACAGAAATAGAAAACAAACAAAAAATCATTTTTAAAAATTAAATGTTTCTTTAGCCTAGTCTCAGCTCAAAATCATACAACATTAACGTGCGGTCGTCTGAGCCGCCAGGCGGCCCAGAAAAAATACAATCAAATGGCCAGCGTGGGCTTTGAACTGCGCTCAGGTGGGGTGACCAGTTGCAGTGGCTCCTTTGGCTGCTCGCTGCCTGCCTCCACTTGTTTGGCCTCATCGCCAGCACTGAACTCTTTCGGTGGCTCCTCCTCGACATCCTCGATGAGGCGATAGGTAATGGGCGACGGCTGCTTGGCTGGGAGCCAGTCGGGAATTATCTTGTCGTGCAGCCTCCACTTGCCGTACTCGTTGGAAATGTGCTTCTCAAACACCACGTACTCCAGCACATCCTTGGTGAGGATCTCGCTGCCGTGCATCAGGCGACCAAAGCGATCGTAGATGGCCAGCATCTGTTGTGTGTGGAAGCGCACCGTAACCTGGGCAAACTGGTTCTCCTTGGTGATCACTTCAGTGCATCGAGCATGCACCACGCGAGGGGGCTCCAGGGACTGCAGGAATCGCCAGTGAATGGTCTTGTCCTTGACGTTGTGCATCATCTCGGGATAGCAACGCTCGCTGACATATTCACGTATCTTGTACTTCTCCTTGGCTGCCATGTGCGTGTGGGCCGCTACATAGATCTCCTGGGCCTCGGCTCCGAACTGGTCGTTGCTATAGCTCTCATCGTACGAGCGTATTTTCCGTACGGCCATCAGACTCTTGGACTTCTTTTCCAGGAACTCTAGTTTCTGCTTGGCTCCGGTGGAGGAGATTATGGACTTCTTGCCATCGCCCTCAGGTGGGACATATGCCTCGAATATGCCGCCAGTACAACTGATGTGAAATGGACGCTCCATCCAGGGTCGGGGCGGCAGCACACCACGTTCCTTCATACGGCTGCGCATCTCCTCCTTGCTGATGTCTTCTGGCTTTTCGCGTAAATTTGGCAGCTCAATTTTCACAAACTTTTGCCTACGCAACCGCTTGAACTGCGGTGCCCAGTGCTTGGTCTGTCGATGGCGCACCTGCTGCATCTGGAGCATGTTCTGGAGCGCCGGTGCCAATATGCCCCCCAGGCCACCAGAAGTCACAGCCTGTGGCACGCTGGGCATCATCTATTTGTGAATTAAATATCCGGTTAGGCTGCGAATGGGGCAATGCACAGTATCTGGCTTAGTTACCTGCACGAATTTAAGGCACGTTTTGGCCGAAACAAGCTTTTCCATTGTAAATAACTGCAAGTAACTTTATTATATAAAAAACACTCTTGGAAACTCAGGTGTCAAACCAAAGGGGGCACTATCGATAGTATCGATATTTTGCTGGTAGCCTCTACTATCGATGGTTTTGAGACTATCATGATAGTATCGAGCTACAGTTGTTGCGCTTTTGATATGTTTGGATTGCCTGTTACAAAATACGAAGACAAATTTGTAAACAAATCGACAGGTGGCATCTAATTTATACAATGAACAAGTTCCTAAAAGGTTTCAATGGTTTTTAAATAATTATTTGAGCCCGATACTATTACGATAGTATCGATTGTTTTTTTCAAAACATTCAACGTTGATATTCCTCGATTTTGATATTCCGTTTAATATTACTAGCTAGTTGGCCCTCTCAGCCCCAAACAAATAATTTTATCCGATAGATACATACATTTTCTACAAAATTGGTAAGTTTTCAGAAGTCCTTGCATTGTTTACATAAAAAGGTTCAAACAAAAACGGCCAAAGCATAAAACGTTAATGTTGACTATATGTGACGTCGGTGTTGCTTGTCAGCCAAATTTCTTCTATGCGTATGTACTTTTGTATTGATGAAACATTGAAACATTATTTATGATTTTATCCTAGATTGACATGTTTTTTACCTATTAATGCACAAGTTTGAGTTTTATATATACATTTATCCCGGTTCTGATACCTATTATTGGAACCCGTGAGCTGCAAAATTTCGTTAATATCTTTAAAACAGAAAGTGAGTAGTTGCTGCATTAATTGGAGCCTGAAATTACAAACAATATCTCAAGTATTATTTAATATAATATTAATAAACTTTCACAACTGATTTTTTTAATGGGGACTTCATTCGGATTCAAAACTTGAATAAAAAAATAAGTAACGAAACATCATTGAAAATCAGTTTTAGTTATGCTGAATATTTCTGCTTCTGAAAGGCAAATCATTTGCATTAATTTAATAATAAATAATAGTTTAATAAAAAAAAAGAGTGTTCGATTTTTACCTTTGACCTCTTGGAACAAGAATCTTTTCTCTCCCTGCAAAAAGAGACTTTAATGAATGAACTTTTCTATTGGTTGGATAAATATGCAGATGTACGTACTTTGGAGAATAGTCACCTCCATCACTGGTGCGACTCTTGGGAGGCATTAAGACTTTTGGCATATTCTTCAAGTGCTTCAGACACACCTTGGCGTTCTCTATGTCGGTCTCCAGGCGTATCACTGCAAGTTAAAGTCGTTGAAGATTCGATCTGATCTGATCCGAATTAGCGCATGGACTAGACTTACCCTTTTTCAGTAGGTGCCCCTCTTTGGGATCGCAGTAGCACTTCGCCTGTTGTGGGTTTGGGACTGATGGGCTTTTTCTCGGGGCATTCGGAGGCAGTCACCTCTTGGAGCAGGGTGTTGAACAGGCAGCCGGGTAGAATATACTCGGCCGCAGCGTAGATACGCTTGTGGATGTAGGCCAGCTCGGTGAAGTTCAGGGACGTCAGGCCACGGTGGTACAGCTTGTGGCAGATGGCGTAGAAGCGGCTGTTGGGTATGTTGCACTTGCAAAAGCAAAATCCGCACTCTTCGACGAACATGTCGAGGATTTTGCGCAGCTCCTTCTCCAACCCACAGCCATCGATCTCGCCAGCCGATAGGGTCTTAACAGTGTTCCGCACAAAATCGTCGAATTGTTCTTCTGCTCCCTCCAGGTCTGAGCCATGGGATCCCCGCTTTTTCTGGCCCTTTCCGGGTCGTGCCTGACTGGGGCGTAACCCTTTGCCGCCACCGGGCTTAGATGTTCCCGCCTTTCCATCTTCTGCATCCAAGTCGTCATCGCCGGTTTTTCCTGGTCCTTTGCCGTCAGTTTTGTCCACGGGTTTTCCCTTCCCCTTTCCATCAGGTCCTTGCTGTCCTAATTTTCCGGCTTCTCCAAGCGGCTTTTCATCGGCTTCTCCTTTACCTTTTCCATCGGCTACTCCGGCTCCTCCGGCTCCTCCGGCTTTTCCTAGCCCAGTCTCGTCGTCATCTCCTCTGGCTTTTCCTGGACCTTTCTTGTCTTCTTCTCCAGGTAATCCTTTCCCTTTTCCACCGTCTTCTCCTACTTCTCCAACTTTTTTTAGCACTTTCTCATCGTCTTTTGCGGGTAATCGTTTTCCCCCGGACTCTTCAGCTTTTCCAAGCCCGTCTTCTCCAGGTCTTTCTTGACCTGCACCTTTTTTAGAGTCTTTTCCATCAGGCGTTTTGACATCCGCGGCCTTTTGTGCCGCCTCCTTCGCTGCCTCCTTCGCTTCCTCCTTCGCTGCCTCCTTCGCTGCTTCCTTCGCTGCCATTTTTTCAACTTCTCTCTCGATGGCGTCCGGATCCCCACCGAGTTTTCTGAGGTCATTGCCCAGAGTCTTATTCTTCTCTTCGAGAAGCTGAGTCTTTTTCTTGCAGTCCTCGAGCTGCTTGCTCAGATCATCGAACAGCTTCTGGGCCTCACTGTCTTTGAGTTGGCTCACTTGAGTCTTGAGAGTTTCGTTTTCCACGGCCACATCTCCGATTTCCCGAATGATGCCAATGCTCTCGGAGAAGCCCTGCTCCATGATCCGGGTGTCATCGTCCAGTTTTTTGACTTTCTCGTCCAGATCTCCGAGTTTCTTTCTGCTCTCTTCGGCAGCCACACAGAGGCAGTCGTTCTCATCGTAAAGTTCCCCCAATTCGCCGTCCTTCTCGTTCAGCAAGTTCCTCAGGCGATTCAACTCGCGGTTGCAGTCATCCAACGAATTGATGGGAGAGCCGCCCGGATAATTGTTTTTGTTCATTTGCTGGAAGCACTCCCCTTGCTTCGACATCTCGCTCATGATGTGGTCCAGAGTGGCTTCCGTGTAGATGGCCAGATTAGCGTCCACATCGCCACCGCCCTGTGTACACTGCGACTTATCTGGAATTTCCATGGGGCCACAATCGCCACGCTGGTTACCGTACATCTGGTCCAGCTCACGGACGACGTTCTGCAGGTGGGTGGGGTGAGGAATAAAAATAACACAAAGCAACGGAGAGGAAAATCATTGGAGGCAGCTATCGGATCTATGGAGTGTTTTTGAGGTATGGGGAGAATGGAAACGGAACATGCAGCCAGAGAAGCTCCAGCGACCTTCCTCTCACGTTGCGCCCGACCTCTTTTGGATGGCCATTAGCCGGATTTAACATTTAATTTGGTAAAAGAACAGATGATTTCGATCGCAGGTATCTGGGAATTTAGGTCGTTTTGTATACTCGGACTGGGCTATTGATGGCGCGCGCTTTCGACTCCTAACATGGACAATCTCCATCATCCCCATTCTCATCCACACCAATATTATTGCCGTCATCCGGCATTTTGTCAAGATAGCGATAGCCACCTTCCTTAAAGAGCTTGGCCTTCGCCTAGGGAACGAGCAAGATCAGATCCGTTTAGCTTGGCTTCCATCGCCCGACCCCCGGAGGTGCTCTGTACTTACCATCAGCTGCTCGTACTGGGTGCCGTAGGCGCTTATGGCAATGTCCCGCTTGCGCAGCTCGTTGCGCAGCACATCGATCTCCATTGTCTGGCACTCGGCCTTCTGAGCGTTGGACTGCACGACCGCCAGCTGTTGCTTCATCTCATTGCAGCGGCACTAGAAGTGCGGGGAAGGTGTTAGAGGGTGTTACGTGGCCTTCGCGCAGTACTTACCAGGAGTAGCTCCTCGTTTCCTTTGACCTTGTCCACCTCGCCCTCGTAGAAGTTCTGCATGTCTTCCATCTCCTGCTGCATGTCGCTGATATACTGGTCGTGGTGCTTGAGGTTATCCTCCAGATCGCCCTGAACATGCTCTGCCGTCTCGGCCTGGTTCTTCAGCTTGGTGACCTTCTCGTTGAGCATCGTCAGGGCCTTGCACTTTTTGCGCAGCGCATCACGCTCCGCCAGGATCTTCTGAATGTTGCCCACGTCCTTTTCGGGCGAGAACGCGTGTTTGCCGCCAGACTGATTGCCTGCAGCCTTCATGCACTCGTCCTCGGCCTGGCGCAGCAGGATCAGTTCCTTGCCCAGACTTTCAATCTTCTTCTGCAGATAGGGTATGTCGCTGCTCTTCTCGGGCTCGATCTTGATGCTCTCCAGGTTGCTGCGCTTCGACTGCTTCTCGATCAGGCGCTTCAGAGTGCCATTCTCGGCCTCGAGGATATCGTGGGCCTTGTTCATGTCGTCGATGGCCCTCATCAGTTCATTCAGCTCCTGCTCATCTTTGGGATCGATCTTCTTGGCATCGGACAGCTCCTTGACCTTCTTCTTCAGGGCCTTGCTCCTATCTGGATCGTAGCGTTGGGCCATAATACGCTTGATCTCGGCTGACTCCTGCTGGGCCGTCTTCAGTTGATCGTTCGAGTCGGCCAGCTTTTCCTTTAGTATGTTGTTCTTCACCATCAGACTCTGCATGCGCCCAATTGTGTCATCGGCGGCATTGATTAGGCTGTCGCCCACCACCAGATTGCTGCCGTAATCATCCGCGGCGAGTGAGCGGCCTACAGCGCCTGCTTGGCCTGCTTGTCCTGCGCCGCCTGCACCGACACCGTCGTTGCTACCGCGTCTGCTAGCGTTGCTCGAGGGACCGCCGGTATTGGGCCCGGTTCCCCCAAAGTTGCCTCCTTGGGCCCCATCGTTGCTTCCGCGCCTGCTAGCGTTGCTCGAGGGACCACCAGCATTAGCTCCTTGTGGGCCAGCGTTGCTTCCGCGTCTGCCAGCGTTTCCTCCTGGACCGCCAGCATTGCCTCCTCCTGGTGCGCCATCGTTGCTTCCGCGTCTGCCAGCGCTGCCTCCTGGACCGCCAGCATTGCCTCCTGGTGCGCCATCGTTGCTTCCGCGTCTGCCAGCGCTGCCTCCTGGACCGCCAGCATTGCCTCCTGGTGCGCCATCGTTGCTTCCGCGTCTGCTTGCGTTGCTCGAAGGACCAGGACCACCAGCATTGCCACCTTGGGCGCCAGCGTTACTTCCACGTCCACGTCCGCGTGCAGTAGCGCCCGTGTCAGCTTGCTGACCAGCTCTGCCAGTTCCATCTCTACCGCCAGATGGCCCTTGTCCCGCCGAATCAGCGCCACGACCAGCTCCACCAGCCCCACCAGCCGCTGCGGTGCAGGCAACAAGCTCAGCCACAAAGCGCGACTTCTGCTTTTCGTTTGCCGACCAGGACCGATCATCGATAGTCGATGGATAGCTCTTAAGTTTTACACACGCATCGGGGCAGTCGCGACTCGCGATGGTTTCGTTCTTGAACGGCACATGGAAGAACTCCTTCTGCGTGGAGAAGGCCATGGTGTTGTGCTTGGTTAGCGGTCGCGGTCAGCACTTATTATTTGCTTTGGTATTTGCCGCGCGAATTGTTAATTGTTTTGTAAAAAGATTTGGTTTTATTTTCTGAAATAATTTACGAATGTACGTCCGACATTTATGGAATCCCCAATTTTTCTATTGTTTCAAACGATACAATTTCAACACTACAACAGAACAAGGCTATGACTGGCCGATCCAAAATCAGTACTGGACACACCGCCTGCCATGATCGATAGCAAGTACAACTAGATAACATTGCCAGGGATCTAGGGATCATTCCAGGCCCTGGGCACGTCGCTCGGCCAGGGATTCGTCCACTGCGTTCATGCCGCTGAAGCCGCTCGGCTGCATCGTCATGCTGGCTGTCCCCGAGCTGATCGTTCGCAGGACGCTGGAGTAGCCGGAAAGCTCGGCCAGCGGAGCATTCACCAGAATCATCTGAATAAGCGAAAGAGACAAAGAGGATCAAACGAGTCAGTCTTCAATGAGTCTGAAAAGTGACCACAACTCACTTTATTCCTATCGCCCTTCGGCAGTACATCGTTGATGAGGGCGCGACGTCTGGAGAGGTCTGCCATTATGCCCGAAATCCGTTCACTGGGCGCCACAATCTGCAGTGCCATTATGGGCTCCAACAGGCGGATGCCGCTCGTGCTCAGCAGCTGCAAAAACATGTCGAAAATATTCGGTTTATTATTATTATATTACAGGATTCGCCCCTTACTTTTTGGACGCACTGAGCTGCGGTGGCCATCACAAAGGAGTCGGCTGTGCCACGACCAATGGTTGCATTGTGCAACCGGATCTGCGTGTCAACCACTTGACCGCCCACGCGGGGTCCACGCTCCAAAGCGCTGACAGAGCCTTTCCTCAGCACCTGCAGAATGCGAGGACGCAGCGTGTTGAGGTTCGGCAAGTTCTCCGGTGACTTATCTAAGCTTTGGGTACACAAATAAACGTAAGATCAGCTCTCGCTCTGGTTCGGACTGGCAGTTTCGACAAACCTGAAGAGCTCGCTTTGGTCTTTGACCACCTCCAAGGTGAGGCTAACGTTCTGCTTGCTGCCAGCAATCTCCTTTTCCACACTCAGTGTAGTGAGCGCTGGCGATTCGATGGTTTCCTTGTAGGCTATTTGCAGTGGACCCAGATCCACGTCGATCTTGTACTCGCTCAGAATGCGCGACTTGATGATGTCCATGTGCAGTTCACCCATGCCGCCCAGCACTGTCTGGCCGGTGACGGCATCGTAGCTGACGCGCAGACTGGGATCTTCGCGCTGCAGCTGCCTCAGTGCCTGCTCCATGGCCGTTTGCGAGGACACACTGGGTGGCTCAATGGAGCAGAAGTAGACAGCATCCGGTATTTGTCGGTCAATGCCGAACAGCTCGTCCGTGTCCAGTTCTTCGTCCTCATCTGTTGACGAAGTGCCCTGGCTTTGTTTCAAGCGTTTCTGGGCATTCCTCAGGGCTGTCTGGCTAGACGTCAGCAGATCTCCCGTAACTGTTGACTAGACAGAGAAGTGGTTAGCTGAGGGCTGCTCAATGTGCACCATGTGCAGCTTACCTTAAGACCCGCACATATGACCACATCGCCCGACTGCACGGCACCCACCTCACGGTATTCGTCAGCCAAGGGCTCGTACAGTTTGGACACTACCTCCGCTTGGCCACGCGAGCAGATGAGACGCATGCCACGCTTTATCTCGCCGCGTAGAATACGCACCAGCGTCAGAGGGCCACGCTGCTTGTCGTGGACAATCTTAAAGACTTTGCCAGCCACTTCGTTTCTGCAAAAATTGCGGAATTTCACACAATTATTATATTCTATTTTCTGACGCTAAATTCTTACCCAAAGCAGTCGTAGATTTGGTTGCGTTCCTCTGGCGCGGGCAGATAGGTATTCACGGCATCCATCAGTCGCTGTATGCCAACGTTTTTGTAGGCAGAGCCCAGCAGCACAGGCACAACCCTCCGCTGACAGGTAGCCCGACGCAGGGCTTGTTCGATGAGCGCATTGCTGACATTGTCAAAGCTTTCCGTGCTAATTACCACATCGGCCAGCTCGTCATCCAGTCCCGAAAGCTGATCGATCAGCTCATTGCGCTTTTCTTGAAGCTCGCGCAGATCTGCAGAGGGCTCCAGCTTCGTCTTGGTGTAGCTGCGACCCAGATCTTTCGGCTGCCATGTTAGCTGCTCCAATGTGATCACATCCTGAATGGCTGCAGGGAAAGTAGGTTCGAATGAACTCCAGCACTCGCAGAAAACTTCTAATCATACCCAAGAGTCCATCCTGGGTTTTTGTGGGATACTGTATGCACACAGGCTGCGTTTCCAGCTTCGTTTTCAAATCATTGACACACTTGTCAAAGTCTGCATCCGGACGATCCATCTTATTGACGAATGCCAGCCGCGGCAGCTTGTGTTTGTCCGCCTGCGTCCATACGGTGACGGTTTGTGCCTCAACTCCAGCCGTGCCGTCCAGAACCACGACAACACCGTCCACGGCATACAATGATTGCTCCACCTCCATTGTGAAATCAATGTGTCCGGGGGTGTCCAGCAGGTTGATGCTAGTCAGTAAGGATTTTAGTAAAACAGCTTGGGGAGAACATTGAATGCACGTGCACACACCGATTACCATTCCAGGGAAAAGTCACAGCCGAGCTGCAAATGGTGATGCCGCGCTCCCGCTCTTGTGTTAGATAATCGGTCACCGTGTTGCCGCGATGCACTTCCCCCAGAGACCGCGTCTTGCCAGAGTAGAACAGCATACGCTCGGTGGTTGTGGTCTTGCCTGGGGAAACAGGATTTACTTCATCAATTTGGGTGCCATAAGGAATTTCAAACAAAACAGTCACCTGCATCAATGTGCGCCAGAATACCAATGTTCCTGATTTTGCTGCTGTAGCTGCGCCTGCTAATATGTGCGGATAGCTGGCGAAGCAACCTGATGCGTTGCATTCTTCCACTGTGCAATGCATATTTCAGCATTTTCATTGATAAATTAAACTAAAATTAACTAAAACCGGCAGAACAGCACAACAAAGCCGCAACAGATGTTTTTTGTAGTCGTTATCGGAGTCCAGCTGTTTACCAATCGAATATGTTGATTCTTCAGACTGTATTTTTTGTAGTATTTATATTTTCCGCGGACCTCGCTTTATTTTTATTAAAATTTAATAAAGCCGGTCCGGAAAGGACCTTTAAAATAATTTAAATTATGTCCACTCGCCCGCGTCGCCAAGCTGCGACAAAGAAAAAGCTTATAATTGAGCTATCTGATTCCGATGAAGATGCGACTGCGGAATCCAAGGATACGGATGAGTACAGGCCCCAACAGGCTCGGGCCTTGGATAGTGCTGCCGCTGCCACTGCAGGCGTGTAAGTAGTAATGTGATCAATAATTCGTGACATCTGACTTATTCCCGGTCTCACACAGCGCCAAGCGAAAGCGGTGGCCTACAGCCCAGGACACTGCTGCTGACGCGCCAGCGGCCAAGAAAAAGCGCGGCAAAAAGGATGCAAACGTCGAAAATGATTGCCCCAACCAAAGCAACCCTGAGACGGAAGCGATCGAACCACCCCGATCTTTAACGCAACCAGACGGCGCTGCTTCCAGCGCAACCACAGGACGAAGTTCCTTCTGGGAGCGTCGCAAGGTGTGGAACATTCATGAGTTGCTGGCCGAAACGGAGAACATCCAGCCAACAGCAGCCCGCAATATTGTGCAGCTCTTTGAGAACGAAAACACCATTCCATTTATATGCCGGTACCTTCACTTACATATACAATATATGTATGCGCTCTGCTAATAGTAACTTTATATTTGTGCAGCTATCGGCGAGATCTGGTTGACCATTTGCCACCAGACCGATTGCGTGACATTCGCAACACCTACACGGAGATCGTGGATCTGCGGAAGAGGGCCGAGAACATAGTCACGCAGCTGGAGCGCGAAAATGTGATAAATGAGGAGATTCGGGATGAGCTGATGTGCGCGAAGAACAACGAGGAACTGGAGTTTCTCTATGCTCCCTATAAACCGGCCAGCAAGGGCACCCTGGCGGAGCGTGCCAAAGCATTGGGACTGGAAGATTATGCCGATCGTCTGCTATATGGAACAGCGCCGCAGGTGAAGCTCTCATCCATTGTGGATCCTAGTAATGAGGCCTTGGCCTCCGAGACGCTGGTGCTGAATGGAATCTGCAACATAATTATACACAATATCAGCAAGAACACAAATGTATTGGAAGAGCTAAGGAGATTGTAAGTCTGGCTTTCATCCAATCAACCGAATTTATTGCTGCAACTTTTGTAATTTCAGGCAAAATGTACACCGCATTGTGCTGATGTGCAGCAAGACAAAGGAGTCGGCGGCCACCAAGGCAACTGGCAGCAGCAGCAGCAGCAAAACGACTAAGAGCAGTGCCATATCCGACAGGAAGGTAGACAGCTCAAAGTTCGAGAATTACTTTAATTTTCAGGGTGACATTAAGACAATTAAACCCCATCAGATGTTAGCCATCAATCGTGCTGAAAAGCACAAGTTTATATCCGTAAAAATGGATACAAGCGATTACCTCAAGAGAGATCTCTCACGCTTCATCTCCGAGCAGTACATGTCTCAGGGCTTGCAGTATCCACTGCGAAGGGAGACATTTACCAGAGCCCTGGAAGAGTGCATCACGAAGAAATGTAAGCCTTTAATAGTCCACAGCTCTACCGGTTAACAGCATGAGATTCTTTCAGTGCAACCTTTGATGTGTCGACAGATACGCACCGACCTCAAGGAGAAGGCCCAGAAAGCGGCCATCGATGTGTTTGCCAAGAACCTGAAGCAGCTGCTGCTCATGTCGCCTCTCAAGGGTGAACGGATTCTGGGCATCGATCCGGGCTACACAAACGGCTGTAAGCTGGCAGTTATATCCGAGACGGCCGATGTGCTGGATACAGGCGTCATCTATCCGCATGGCGTGAGGGCCAACAAGCGAGCAGCCGAACAGAAGTTGGTGGAGCTGCTGAGCAAGCACACGTAACTATTTGGAAATCAATTTGCAAGCTTTACGTTTACCTTATTGCCCCCTGGAACAGCTGCCAAGTGATTGCCCTGGGAAACGGCACCGCATGCCGCGAAACGGAGTTTTGGCTGACTGATCTGTTCCATGCCGGGATTCTGGACAGCCGCAGCATCCGCTACAGCATCGTAAATGAGAATGGTGCCTCGGTTTACTCCTGCAGCGATGTGGCCAGCAAGGAGTTTCCCGATATGGATACGAACGAGCGGAGTGCAGTGTCCATAGCTCGACGGCTGAACGATCCTCTCAGCGAGTATGTAAAGATAGAGCCGCGCCACTTGGGCGTGGGCATGTACCAGCACGATGTGTCTGAGAAGACCCTCACAGAATCCCTGAAGGACGTTGTCTCCGAATGCGTGAGCTATGTGGGCGTGGACCTCAACACTGCCAGTCTGAGTGTGCTCAAGTAGGTGGACAAATCATTGCATTGAAAACTATTCTAATTTAAATATTCGCACACCAAGACACATTGCTGGCCTGTCGGAGAAGAAGGCAGAGAAGATCATAGAGTATCGCACGGATAAGGGTCCCTTCCAGTCCCGCAAGGATCTGCTCTCGGTGCGTACCATAGGCGAGAAGTCATTTGTACAATGCGCTGGCTTTGTGCGCATCGAGCCGCTGAGTGTGGGCGGGCGGCTGAAGAATCCACTTGACTGCACCTGGGTCCATCCAGAAAGCTATAAAGTGGCTGAAACGTAAGTGCAATGCAATCATAACATTTATTCAACTTTCTGTGACATTTTCACCAGTCTGGAGGTGTCACTGGACTCTGTGCTAAATTTGCTGTCACTGCGAGTGAGCTTGGCAGCGATGCTCGTATTGCAGAGATAGTTGTTGGTGCGCCGCTTGACACAATCCTCACTGGAGTCACTTTTTCGGCACCACGGAGGCAAATACGGGATCAGTGGGTCCTTCTTGTTGCAGCGCTTGCAGGTGCAGTGCTCTGTCCCGGCACACAGGAAGCTCTGGAAATCACGCTTCTTCGAGAGCAACGCCAGATAATCCTCAATGGAGTACTCCTTGTTGGGATCCATAAGTTCCGCCCAGGTCCTAAACTTGACGGCCACACCAAAGAAGTATTCGTTTAGATCATCGATGGTCTGCAGCACTTGGTCTAGCCCCAGTAGGAACGGGCTGTTCAGAGTGCGATCCAGCTTGCTCAGACGCACCCCCAACTCCTTCCTGGAGTTGCGCACGCTCAAAATAGATTTCGATAGCTCGTCACTGAAAGAGAACGATGAGCCACACATATACGGATTTCCGGACTACGACTCACTTGGACTGGTCAATCACATTGTAGGCCTTCTGGAATTCGCACAGCGATCGCTCGGCGGTCATTCGACTTAGGTACTCGGGGTAGATATTGGTGCAGCAACTTTCGCCGACCAGCAGTCGATAGCGCATGGCGTGATAGCGCATTGTCTCGGCCATTTTAATCTGCAAGACAATGGCTGCCGCCAGCTGTTTCTCCAGTGCCCTAAACTGTGTCTCTAGCTGAAGGATCTGCTCGTGGACGCACTGCTCCAGTCGGAAATCATAGCTGGTGTAAAGCGTCTCGCAGTGGTCGAATGTGGGCTCCAGCTGATCGAGTGGTATGGTAGCGCCCCGGCAAGGTGGCGGCAAAGGACGACGCTTGTATCGCTCCGGCGGATACTCCCAGCACGGGCCGAAGCGGGCATCAGTGGTAACAGAGATCGGATGCTCCCAGCAGGCTTTATAAACTTTCGTTCCATAACCGCTATACGAAGGAAGCTTGCCGCAGGCTATAATCTTAACCTTTGGCGGTTTTAGTGTTGGTGGATAGTTCCAGCGCTCTTCATACAAACGCTGCAGCTCAGCGATCTTTTGTTTGGGCGGCATTACTTGAATTGAATTGAGAATTTGTATATTTGTCTTAAAAACCAAATTTTGTTTTAATTTTTCAGTATCGTTGCGGAATGTGACTTGAAACTGTCGGATATAGGCAAGTTTAGCTTCATAGCACGCATCAAAGAGTTTGCCGAATCGAAAACGAAACTGGATCGCATAGCCAAGGAAAATAAACTGCCCATGGAGCGGGTGAGTCTATCAAAATTTGGGCTCGAAATATTTTATACTAATTTATTATGGAATGCTTACAGCTGGAATTCGTGCTGGTGGCCCTGCAGCGGGAACTGCTGCAGGATTATCGAGCTGATTTGGACAAGCGGCCGCTTTTCAAGCAGGGACTGACACGAATCGAAGACCTCAGCAATTGTGATGTGGTTACCGGTGAGAATCGACCCACGCATCGCGCTCGTGTACCCTCGACTTATCCTGCATAAATTTTCCTATTTTCCAGGTGCTGTTACCAATGTAACACACTTTGGTGCCTTTGTCGACATTGGTGTGGAGCGTGACGGCCTCTTGCACAAGAGCCACATGAAGAACTGCGACCTGAGCATCGGCGATCGCATTGTGGCCTCGGTGGTGAATCTGGACAAGAAGCGGCAGAAGTTTGGCCTACGCCTGGAGAACATGCTGGCTGAGACGGACACATCCTTTACCTTCAAGACGGAGTGAAAGCAAACGGCAGGAGTTTAAAGTTTTTGGAAGTATTTAATGTATCATTCATATTGGGCTGCTCACATGAGCATATACATGTATACTATATATAACTCGTATATATGTATATATATGTGTATCTGTATAGTATAACGGCTTTCCTAAAGTTACTCAAAGCTTATCAGTTAGTAATAAATGTTCACATAAAAATCACCGCCTCTACAATGCGCGTTCTTGTTTCCCTTTTTTTTCGTAATATGTTCTGAAGTTCTTAGATGAGAATGCTCGTGTGTGTGGTGTGTTGTGTGGTGTGTAGTTTTATGGTTCGAAGGGGTACGTGGATAGTACTCGTATTGCTCTAAAACTAAGTGAGTGAGTGAGTGTGAGTGTGAGTGCTGCCCTCGCAGAGCCGTTTTAAATGTTGTAACTAAATTAATATACAATATGCATACATTTAGGCGCTTGGTTTAGCAGGCGAGCGTTCGCTTCAGTTAGTTGGTATTTTCGAATTTATTGCCGTTTCATTAGAATTGTTAAAAATTATTATAAACAGTGTTATACAGTTTGCATTTACATAATTACACAATACAATTTAATATACTCGTAATAATATATTCAAAAATATATATAGACTATATATATATATATGCATGGTTTTGTTTTTGTTTAGATTTATTGTTTCCCCATCAAATATCAAATTTCATATTCTAGCTACATGGACATGTGGCGTAATCAACCGATAATTGCTCAAATAAATATTACTCATCCGCACATAATATTGGAGTAAGTGTTGTTGTGTTCCCTACACAGATCTATTAAGAGGATAATGTATCGCAAAAAGGCCAATATATGTGAAGCATATGTGTGGTGTGCTATGTACGAGTATGTATGATGATATATGTACGTAATTGCTTATGATAATGGTAGCTAATGGTGCTCCTCTGATCCTCTTATCGTTTTATTGTTACTTTTCTTCAGTTGTTTGCGTGTGGCGTGTGGTGTGTGTGTATGTGAGTGTGTTGTGTGTGTGTACCGAAATGGTTCAATAATTTATAATTTATTTTTATCATTTATAATGATAGCATAGGTAATGATGTAAGTATTGTATATCAATTCTCGTAATTATAATCTATGTGTATAAGCGATTCGCCCTCACGTTCATAGAAGGTCGTTCAGCTGAATCTTTGGCCAAACAAATCCAAATCCAAATCATCGCATTGGGTATTCCCCATTTTTGCTAAATGCATAAAACCATCTCATACTGTTAACAAATTCGATTACAAATTGGGTTCGTATTTGTAGTCTTTATCATCTCAATGTGATCTTCCGCTTAGCCCTAAGATCCGGCACTTGGAATCATTCGATCGATCGGTAGATTAGGAAATATGTATTGGCAGATTTTTTGTTTTTTTGTTTGTTGAGTGTTGGGTGCCGCACGGCACGGCACGGCACAGCCGGAACCCGTGAGCGTGTGTTTGTGTGTGTGTGATTGAGTGGGTGGGTGTGTGGTTGGAGCCTCTTTCTCCCGTTACCGCTCCCTGCTGCATGAGTGCTGATTATGCGAGTGTGTGGTGTGGCAGCGTGGCATATTCGGAGTATTCTATATTCATGGGGATTGCAACACTTCATCATCTCTGAATGAGATAGAGAGAGGGATATAGAAAAACTGTTAAATGCATTGTAGATCTTCCATTTTGGGCGTGTGGCACTTACCGACTGCGAGGAGGCGGATGTGTGTGGTGTTTGTTTGTGTTGCGTGGTTGAAATGATCGAAATCAAGAGCGAAACGAAAAGTAATTAAACGAATTTCTTCTCCTTTCTGTAAGTGTAGAATGAAAACGTAAATTAACAATCAACAAACAAGGGATGTTCTGAAATGTTCGATATACAGATGTAGAGCCAAGCTGGACACTGAAGAGTAAGCAATAAAACATTGAGATATATGTAGCCTATAGCTTGCTCACATTCAAGACAGGCTAGTAGAAGGTACAGGTCGGGACATTTACAGAGAGAAGCATCTTCGTTGGACTGCTGTCCGCGAATCGCTAGCCGCCAGTCAAGGGCTACTACTCGTTTAAAGGCTTTTGGAATGGTAGAAATGCCGCCAGAGCACGCTACAGCAGCAGAAGACATCGAGCCATCTGTAAGATTGAAGAATTCTTCCATTTGGGTTCTGTTTTTGTGTTTTTGTTTTAACTGGCATTAATTGAACAGAACGTAACGAGTTGAGCAGGCGGGGGGTAACAACGGATGGTAACGAGTAACGAGAACGCTGTTCGTTTTAAAGACCACAAAATGATCGGTTCGGTTAGCATGATTCTCATGGTATGGTACATCAGTGTGTGGGTATATGAATGTGGGTCTACAATCAATCAATCAATCAACCAGGATATACAGAGAGTAAAGTGTCTAGTGGTGTGTGTGTGTGTGTAGTGATTCCAGGTATTTTCTTATCATACAAGCTTTTATTGATTTCGTTCTACTTAAAATTGTATCTCTATCAGCTTGACTTGATGTGTGCAAATTGCTTGTAAAATTCTTGTAATTTTTCTGTAATCTCATCATCTATGTTATGTGTATGTATGTATGTATATTTCGTATGCTTTTAGCTTAGGTATAAACGCATAAACGTCTGCTACTAATGAACCACATTTGTGTTTTGTTGTTTTAATATAATTTCTTCATTTCTTTTGTTTCTAAATCTATGTATATTATTTATATAGTATGCATGTATAACGCCAAAAGTTCGGGTTTATAGCTACAAGTGCTACCAAAAAACATTAGTTCTCTATAGTTAACTATGCGCATCTTGACTTTCGAATTTCGGTATCGGTTTGAATAGATATCTATTTGACGAATCTTTCGAATTTTCACAGCATTTGTGGTATGTGGGTTGTGGGGTGTTGCTCTCAAAATAAATCCACATAACAACTAATTATATTAGGGAATTATGTTGATGTCCGTCCACATGGTTTTAATTGCCTAAACGCAACGCTCAAGTCTGAATTCTGTATTATTGTTGTAGTTAAAAACTATTCAAAATTAAAGCTTGTACTGGGTACACAGAAGGTCTCAGAGATGATCGTAGATGGTACATATGATGGGACCACAATGAAAGGCAAGGCAAAACTCAAAAGCGAATGGAAACAAAACACAACACGACACGAAATATACAGCAGGATATATTTACACACACACAGGGAGAAATTAAAGAAAGGTGAGTACAGTGCAGTAACGCCAGCAACATAAGAAGACACCGCAGCAAACACAGTCCCAGAACAGCCTATTCCAAACCAAATCGGACGGCACTGAGACCCGGGGATATCTGCTGCGGGAGGTGGAACGAACAACACAAGTAACAAAACAAAACAGAATAGAACAGAATAGGGGGAAAAGCAGACAAACAGTAATGGATCGAAGCGATCGCTTTAAACCACACAAGCTGAGAAAACTCCCATTACGCGTCAGCCAATGTCCTGCTGGACATTGCCGCCGGAGGATGAGGAGCTGCTGCCGCTAGCACGTGGTTGCTGACTGTACCTGTTCGATGACTGTTGCTGCCGCGGCTGCTGCTGCTCCTTCTGCTGTTGCTCCTGAATGTTAATACTTGGCGGCGTGGTGGGCGTGCAGCTGCTGCCCACAGGGAATGTGTCGGCTTCTTCGTCAAGGATTGCCTGCGTGGGCTGCTGCGCCTGCAGCTCCAATTGTTGCTGATCGGCCAGCATTTTGGCGCTGAGTATGCTCACATAGGTGCGGTAGCGACGCAGCTGCAGGATAAGCCAATTATTAGAATTTACACACACAAAATGGGGCGCTGGACGGGGCTCACTTCATATTGCAAATAGCTCTCCTTCTCCTTGTAGTTCTGCAGTGGCAAGCCCTTGCTGGGTATCGGCCCCTTCTTGTGCTCATTGAGCTCCTGCTCCAACTGCGCCAGCTGCACTTCGTGCGACTCCAACTGCTCCTTCTGCAATGTCAAAAAAAAAAAAGAACCATTCCATGAGCTATGGATCCCTTGTGTGTGTTGTATCCCCATTCAGATACTTGCCACCATTAGTTTGGTCTGCTTGCTGGGCAAGAGTGGACGCTGGAATCGCTTCTGGCTGCCCACGCCGCCCTCGAGTGGCGGCGCCGAAATGGCGGCGCACACATAGTTGATCGTCTCGACCCACGAGTGGAGCTCCTTGGAGTCGCTTGTCTGGAAGAGATACTCGGCCTGGTCGGACGTCTGCAGACGGAACACATGTTGCTTCTTGGTGTAGTCATTGGCCTTGGTGGCCAGGGCGTGATGTATGCGTATTGCATTGTGCAGATTGTCGGACATCTGTGGGATATCAAATATAAAAATTAGAAGAGTCCCCTGTCTGTCTGTGGCAGTACCCTCTACTCACTTGACTCTTGCGAAAACCATGCTCATCCTTATGCAGATACAGCACAAGATCACGCAGCGTGCAGTAGAACATCTTCCAGGAGCGTTTGCCGAAGGGAGCTGCCAATGGGAAAGGGGGTTTTAGGTCATGAAATTCTATTAGAATCGTATCCAAAGGATGGGATGCTCACTCTTTTTGTAGCTGCTATCGTAGCAGCATTTGCGCATCACATAGCCCTTCTTGTACTCCACAGCGGTGGCCAGTTCGGGTGCATCCAGGAAGGGATTCTGTCCAACATTTCCCAGTGCATTGTTGCCAGTGCGCTGCTGCAGATCACCCGCATCGTCATCTCTGAAAGAAAACATCTCATTTAATGACTGATTTAAACTGAAGAGATGGATTGTACTTACAGCGCCCATTCCAGCGGCTTCGTTTTGATGGCCTGATACAGTAACTTGAGTATATCCTTGGGAAAGTTCTCACCATCGTTGAGATCTGCCAGATTGTCCACGAATTCCGCACAGCTCATCTTGCGATTCATATTCTGGCCATGCAGATCCGTGTTCAGCAGCATTATGGCACAGGTCAGTGTGTGCACCGCATCCTGCGAGTTGAAGGTGCCCGGATTGCAGTCCAGAAAACGCTTCGAGAAGTGCACCAGGACCCGCTCGCGCTCCTGGGTCTCGCCGGACAGCGAGAACTGTTGCAGGAATTCGCGCAGCGACTGATCCAGCGACTTTTTCTCAAAGGTGAAATGCTTTAGATACTCATCGGCTACAGCCCTGCTAAAGTCGTTGCTGAAACGAAATCCAAAATGAGCCAAACGGTTCGACTGTCCACAGGATCTGTGGCACTCACTTCTTGCTGAGATGCCGGGAGACGTCGCTTTTCTTGAAACCGTCGAGGGAATACAGTCTTTTAGCCAGGCGTATGGCCGAGGGCATGTCCACAGCCTTGGGCGAGTAATGATAGGAGTGCAGCGATTCCACATCGCTGCCATCATCGGAAACGGGTGGCGAGGCGTCTCGCATACCCTGCGCCCCTGCCCCCGCACCCACCACCATCGTTGTATGCGGCTGCTCATCCGTCAGCGTGACCACATCGTCATCGGACCGAGCCGCGCTGCCACCGCCACCGCCACCGCCGTTGTTGTCCATGCCGCGCACTTGGATGACCACCTTGTGCTCCGACTGATCTCTGTCCCTGTCCCGCTGCTGCTGCTGCTGGGCACGC